GGGGGGTCATCTTAAGAGTTGATGGCAATCTGATTTGGGCTTTTAGTGGTCCTATCACTGCAAGGGATGCATCTGAATCTAAAGTTCAAGCCCTTCTTGAGGGGCTCAGATTTTCCAAAGACCTCCTTTCTGGTTCCTTACTTGTAGAGGGGGATTCTAGGATCATGATTAGCTAGGCTATCAATTTTGGGACAGGTCCCTAGAGACAGGCTTATTTGCTGCATGAAATTTATGAATTTTCTGTTTCTCTTGGCTTCTGTTGTTGATGGATTCCAAGAGGTATAAATCAAATGGATGATTTCTTAACTAAATCAGGTCTGGAGAGAAATTTTTCGTATAGTGATAATAGCTTAAATATGTCTTGAATGGGCTTTTGGCTGTTTTGTAGCAAGGCTCTCCTTTTCTTGTATATCCTCTTTGTATCTCTCCTTTTATGAATATAATAGTTGCCTTTTATCAAAAATAAAAAAAAAATCATTGAATATCATATGAGGTTCACAATGGGATCTATCTAACTGTCTTTCATCATTTATACATCTTTTAGCCATGTCATTTTTATGTGGGAAAAAAACTTGCAGTTCCTAACAAGGTTTAAACTGGTACTTCTGTCGGAGAGTGGGTGACTTCACCACATTCGTTGGTTTCTTGAAGTACACACTAGCCATGAAAAGGAATTTTAAGTTGGCAGCCTAGATGTTGTAATTCAGATATCATCCCGCTGATTATGCTGAATGACCTGTTCTAACTCATTCTGATTATGCTGAAGACCAGAGGTAGTATTATTGGATCAGAGGATCCTAACTGACCAGATCAAGCAATATTCAAATTCGGTCTGATTAATAAACAGATCACATTTCTGAACTAATCCAGTTATGGATAAATGGATATTTGAATCTGACTTAAACAAAAATTTGAATTACATTCAAGTTTGATTAAATTCAATCCATTTGCAATCCAATACAAGGATGCTTCAAATAGAAAAAAGGAAATCCAATGCAAGGATAGCATTTGGTGCAAGTCTGAAAGTCAAATATAGTTACCATATAAACTAGAAAAAAAAAAAGCCAGGGAAGTTTCTCATTTGTGAACTGAAAGAATGGAAGCAATGGGTGGTTATGGGTGTTTTGTGGATTTATTTATCTCCTTTAAAACCACACTAAGATGTCCTTTCCTTTTGAAACTACATTTCCTTTGATGAACTTTATTAAAACTGTTGTTTGAAACACTCGGGGGGGCATTTCTTCATTGAATCTTCTAGTATCTTTGCAGTAATCATATATCATGTAGTTGTCTCTAACCCACTCCATCTGTCCTAACTGGGCATAACTTAACTTGCTATATTCATAAGAAGTTCACCAGTTTGCAGGTCTACTTGAGGCACACTGTCTAATGCTGAAAGGACCATTCCATTTACAAGCTCTTGCCTCGAATTTTTGGAATCTAGCTATGAAGGGTGCACTGGTCCAGTCAATCTTTACAAGACCTCCTCTGGGTTCCTAGTCATCAGCATTCCATATGCTGGAATTGACTCTCATCCCTTGTCTGTTTAGGTAAGTGATGCCCTCACTCTCATAGTTGCGAAAAACTCTGATTGGTGTCCCATCAACAAACCACCTGAAATAAGAATGGACATAATAGTGATGATATTGATGATGATACTAAAAGGGTAGTTATGAGTAGGTCCCACTGAGTTACCATCACCGGGTTAACTTACACAATCTCACTGGGGTTCCAATGCATACTGTAGTTGTGAAAATCAGCAGTTGGGTCAAACCATGGGTAGAATTGCTGCTCTCTGTTTCCAACACCCTGAGTGAAGACATTTGTGTGGATAATGTAAGGTTGTCCAGATACATTTCCTAAGAACTCAAAGTCTATCTCATCATGCATGCTACCAGTGGAAGACATCTGCAGAAAATTGATATTAGATTTTTAGTATTTTTTTCCACTTGGAAAAGAAAAAAGTGAAGGAAAAGGAAAAAGTGTGAACAAGTAATGGAGCTTTTGGAGGGGTATCCTTTTCTACTTGGAATAGGATATTGGTTGTCTGGTACCAGATTTTCTTGACCCATAATTACAAATCTCATGGTTGATACACAGCTATATGCATGAGCACTTCCCCTTTTCCTCTTGTATCTTTCTTTGGAAGTTTAGACATAGAACATCTAAGAATGGAGTCACATCTAGTATGGTTCCCATTTTCCTCACATCTTGTGTCTGACACTGTACTTGACCGAGGATGATAAAAGGTGTTGTTTGGTTTGTTGGGAGACCTGAGCGCAATGACCCTTTGGTTGGATTAGTACTTACATAGTATGCTGTTACAGTACCGGCAGAATTCCCAGGTACTAATTTGATCAGCATTTGGATGCTCCCAAATAGGAATGCTTTCTTAGATTGCATGCTAGATCCTAAAAACAGAAACATGGTATGGAAGTTGGTTAATTAGAAACTGACAAAAAAGCAAGCTTTTTTTTTTTGATAAGTAAAAAGGAATGAGCTATTTAGAATAAGATGCTGAGACTTTTTTTTTGTTTGTCTTTAGAGATCTGAAATCAAAGTTTTGTAGCATAATCAGATGAGTTCGGATCTGCTGACCACGACACAATGTTGGCCACGCTCATCAAGCCGCACGTCAAGAATATCAGTGGCTGCAACACAACCAATGTCCCAGAAATGGTCTTGTTCAAAACTTGAAGCCTAAAATAATTTATATCTAATGTGTATTGTCCCTTTACTTTGAAGTTTGAACCTTTCTTGCAGTGGATCTGTGGATGCCATTTTTGGTGTTTATGTTTTCTGTCAATCAGCAATTCCACACCAACAATGTTGTAGCAACATTCCTTGTGGGTAAAGACAGTGCAGAAGTGGCATTTTAAGTGTTCTAGTTTTGTTACCCATTGTCAATTTTTGTTCATTGACATCAAATTTCCAAAATCAAATGCAAAGGCTGACACTGGATTTGGCTCTATACTTACAGTTTTTCGGAAGAAATAAGGGATGGAATTCTTATATATGTCATTCTGACTAATAACTAATGTGATATTAACCGAGATAAATAAACCATGAGAAAGGCTATGTTAAAAAACTAGTTGGTATGATCTAATGTTCAACATGATTCATTTCATAGAAAGGCACAGCCTAAATTTTAATGTCATCTAAACTGCCATCACTAAAAAGATGATCGTGTCAAGAAAAGCGAAAAACAAGTTAAGTAAGAGCATAATACCTGAAGTTCTATCCAACACAAGTTGAACTTCATCACCATTGCCCAAGATGGAGGAATTCTGAGCACCCCAGTTAAAATACATGCTCTTGGCAAGCTTGACCTAAACTGAACTCTGATGAAATGCAGCTAGAGAGATTATTAGAACAGTGAACAGAGCTTCAAAGTTCCCCATTCTAACCCAAATGGGCAACAACCCTTTTCCCTCTCCTTCCAGAGGAACAATTGCCTGAGCCTATAGTTGAGATGTCCTTGAACAGGGCCTGAGATGGCTTTAAATAGGATAAACAAACTTAAAAAGAAAGTAGTTTCTGTATATTTTTTAATGCTGTTTGGTAAGAAGATAGGCATGATTCTATTTCAATGTTTTGACTCCCACAATTTGCCACCTTGCATCCACTATGAAGAATAAGCTATTATGAACCTACTAAACGACTGATCTAGACCAACCAAATTTTTAGGCCACCTGATAGAGGGTAAATGAGTAAGCCCAAGAAATGCACCGATCAGCATATAGATGTTAAGTATTGTTTGATAGATGGGTTTATTGTGTCTATTTAAGCTAGATAATGTTCAAGGACAGTTGAAGTTCGTTCTTTTTTTTTTCTAGGGTAAGTAGTGTGCACAAGAAGAACAAAACACGTTCAATACAAGGATGTAACTGTGATTCTTCGAAAACATGAGGGGTAGAACTGTGCAAAAAAATTGTTAATTGGCCGAGCAGAGCTGGCACGAGATGAGATTTGGGAGAAAATCGTGCAGGAGACGTCGGAAGGATAGAAAAAAGCCAGCAGTTGTGACTTGTGAACCGGAAATTTCCTGCTTCCACCAATGGACATGAGCAGAAGAGACAAAAGCCATGGACCTGAGATTGATCTCAGTCGTTGACGATCCCTTTGTAGAATAGAGTTCCTAGCGTTGAGCCGTTGACGTTTGTATTTGTCCAAATAGTATAGAACCTAATATGTTTGGATCGTTAGAAAATAAGAGAAACAGGAACTTAAGGAACTATTGAGTATTAATAATGGATGAATTGTTCAATTACAGTTAATTTACTTAATATTGGTTGCATGTTAAATTCAGTTTTTAACTAATTTAAGTTGAAGTCGCTTTATTTTTCATCGGTTTAGATTCTATAAAATGTATTTTCATGTTTAATAAGATGTACTTATCATGGCCAACCAATTTATTTAAATTTTATTATAGTTTAAATCAATATTTTGGCTGATATTTGTTTCAAGTAAAAAACAAATATGTATAGTTCAAATCCCCTTTCTGATTGGTTCATGAATGTAAAGTGGACGTCTTCGGAGTTGTAATAATTGTCGTTTTTAATACACAAATGCATTCATATCAAACCGTGGCAAAATTGGACCACATAAATGTATCAAACCATCATTTTTACTGCAAACAAATAGAATTTACATTTTAGATCATACTGGTGTATAAGCATGTGCACGAGTATTATTTAAATTAAACTTTGTATAAGATAAATATTCACTTTATATAGTATAAATAAATTGTACAAGTCGTATAAGGTTGGGTTTAATTAATCCTAATTCAAATACATGTGCTTAAGATGATCTTGAGACAGGCCTAGGCAAAACTGATCAACCCTACTCCGAATCCTAACCTGATGACAACTAGTTGGGTTAGGTTCGGTTCAGGTTGAGGTCGAGGTGTGTTGGGATTGGTCTCACCTTTAGTTGTATGGATTCAGTTTGTTTGGGTGATTAAAAAAACAGTTTATTTTTATTTGTACTAGCATAAATGTGTTTGAGTGCAAATTCTAATTTATTTTTACTTTAAATTTGATTTTGTCGTATTTCTTTGTAAGAAGCAAAATGAAGTGGTTTCCATTCTATATGAAAGAGTTTGGAGATAGGAGGATGGTTTGTTTGGAATTGAAGAAAGAAACAAGATGGTGTGATCTCAACTTTATACGAAAAATAATTAAGATAGAAAGAGGATAATGCAAATTTTGCATCAATTTTTGAGATGCAAAAAATTACACTGTTTCAGTGAGTGCTATGAACTGTTGGTTATCCCCAGTAGAACGATCTCCTGCAATTGTTTGCACTGCACTTGTCATGCACTTGCAATGAGCTTGCATTTCCTACAACTCTTAGAATTTTTCATTATGTGGCATCTATCAAATTCCTATTAATCCCAAATTAGCTGTGTAATAAGAGGAAACATTTCTTGCAACCATGCAACTCCAATGACACCAGCATTTGAAATAGAAAATCAGTCGGTGTAATATCTTGATTTTAGGGAAAATTTCTCATTAGTACCCTTTACTTTGGGCCTAGTGCCATTTTTGTTCCCGAACCTTAAAACGTGATAATTCAGTACCTAAACTTTCAAAATGTGTTAATCCAGTACTTGACGTTAACCAATCCGTTAGTTAACCAGTCGTTAAGTGACATTTGAAAAGACACAAGTGCCCTTTGAGTGTCATCTAATTTTCTTTATCAACCAACCACATGTTGATAAAAATAAACAGTCTCAAATCCTTGTCTCTTCTATTCAAGAAAGTTGGGGTTACGTCTCAATGGGCATTTTGGTGACCCCAACTTTCCTAGGCAAGGATTTGGGACTGTTCATTTTTTGTCACTGTTTGGATGGTTGATAAAGAGAATTAGATGATATTTGAAGGGTATTTGTATCTTTTCAAATGACACTTAACGGTTGGTTAATGGCAGGTACTATATTAGCACGTTTTAAAAGTTCAAGTACTAAATTGTTGCATTTTAAAATTCGGGGACCAAAATGGCACTAGACCCAAAGTACAAGGTACTAATCTAGAATTTTCCCTTGATTTTGATTTTATCGTAAACACCTGTGTGTTCGCATTTTATATGGAAGGGTCTCAGGCACAGTCGTAGAAATCATGCATACATGTGAAAAGTGAGAGATTGAGTGGTTGTGACTTGTGGGGAATATAGACTTTTTTTGCTGGCCTGGACAGTTAGGACTCTTCAGCTCAAAAATCAGCCAGGGTATAGGTAGGGGTGCTCATGGTTCGGTGGGGTATTTTTTCAAACCGATGCGATCTGATCAATTTTTTAAATATGCAAACCGAAACTGAACCAATGCAACCGGTTAACCAGTTCATTGATTAACCGGTGGATCGATTAATCGCGGTTCGGTTTTCCAGTTTTTTATACACTTAAAATAATAATAAAAAGAAAACTAAAACTAGTGTCGAACTGCTGGTGTCGTTGGTTGTTTTCGGTGCCGGTGGTTGCCGACGAGTGTCACCTGAATGAGAGCCTGAGAGGTGGTGCAGCTAAAGCCTGGCGGAGACGCAGAGAAGAGAGGTGAGGGAGAAGAGAGAAGTGAGAGAGTGAAAGAGTTGGTGCTTGCTTGCCGAACTGGTTGGACACTTGGACCATTGGTGCTTGCTTGCCGACGAGGCGGCGATCATCATTGTCGTGCTGGTGGTTGGCGCGGTCCGCGCAGCCTCTGGAGTGGAAGAGAATTGAGAGAGTGAGAGAAGAAAAATTGAGAACTGAGAAGACGAAAATGGGAGAAGAAAAAACTGAGAGAGAGAGAGAAAAAAAAGAGAAAGCTAAGAAAAAGAGTTGGCAGTCTGGGAAAAGACAAAAGAGGAATAGAGGACTGGAAGTTTGGCACTCTAGCAGAGGCAGACTGCCGAACTTTCAAGGGAGAAGTACGGATAGGCCCATTGCAGAAACCTGAATTCCAGGCCAGCCCATACAGAATCTATAATAACAGTTAAATTCAACTTTTGAAATTATAGGATAGATTCCCACGCCAACTAAGCATCATGCTTTTGCACTTTGGCCAGTGCGTTCTGAGCTCTCACCTCCACCATCGACGCCTCGAAGTCCACGTAGAACATGTACTCGAAGTGCTTCGTCGTCCCCACATTGGCGTCGTCCACCAACCTTATCGGGCAGTTCCTATGCGGCCGGCTCTCGATCTTCGTCAGGCTTATATACCGGAATGCGAACGCCGATAGCACCTTAAACAACATCGACGTCCCCTTGTCGTGGGCGAACACTATGCTCGTCTTGAATGGACAGTTCGTCCGAGGGATTATCGGCTCTCAAGCCAGCATCATGAACTGGGTCACATTGCTTGAGTCGTCCTGTATCCCGTTCGCCAGCACCTCCAGCCCATATAGCTCCGCCGCCTGCGCGCTCGCTATGGCCGTCGTGTCCCGCAGGTTGTTTGTCACCACGAACTCTGCTACTCCCGCCATGTCGTCCACCGCCTCTTGCACCACGTTGAGACCCATTTTATTCAGAGTCAGCTCGCACTGAGAGAGGGCTTGCAGTTAGTTATGACACGGCTCAGGTACTCCTTCACTCTAGGCAAGGCGAGCAGGCAGTGGTGGACGGGGAGTTGTACTTCCCCCATGATGTGGAGGCGATGACAGAGGAGCATGTCGTAATTCTGGTGAATGCTACCCCCAGCGAGTTCTCGACGGGCAAGACGGCCTGATCGGCGATCCAGAGCTCCATTGCTTGAAATGCCACGCCACTTCGAATTGGTCACAAGGGATGGCCTGGCATTTGGGGGAGGCCTTGCCTGTAGTAGCTTCATGTAAGCTTCAGAGACGCCCTGATAAGCGACGCTAAGCTGGGAGCCGTGCATCAGGGCGGGAGAGAGATTGGTGATGGTAAGGGGTTTGGGAGATTGTTGTCGATGTTGTCGATCGGTGATGGCAAGCTGGATCGCCACCTCACAAGAAAAGCATAGGGAAAAGCACGATGCTTAGTTGGCGTGGGTATCTGTCCTATAATTTCAAAAGTTGAATTTAACTGTTATTGTAGATTTTGTATGGGCTGGCCTAGGATTCAGGTTTCTGCAATGGGCTTGTCCGTACTTCTCCCATGAAATTGAAACTTGAAAGGTTCAAATTTCAAAAAAAAAAAAATGAAATTTGAACCTTAACCTTAAGGCTAAAAGTCTCTTAGACTCATAGACTGCAGCTAATAAATTGGTACGGTAGGCGAGGCGCCGAATAAATGGAAATCTTTTATTCGATTTTCAAAAAAACTAAAAAATATAATATATAATATATAACATTATATTATTTATATAAATATATATTATTGTATATATCGGTCGGTTTGGTTTTTTGTTTTTTTTGCTCACCCCTAGGTACAGGTCCCATTTCAGCCCCAAGTCGTTATTTCCCCCAAAACCATTGAATTTATGTTTATTAATGGATTTCAAAAGTTTGATATCCAACTCAGATTATCTCGAATTTAGATGTTACAATTTACATTCAATTAATAATTAGAAACCTTATCCGATTCGATTAAAATTCAAATTCGATAATAATAATAATAATAATTATTATTATGTATATATAATTTATTTTTATTTTTATTTTTATTTTTATTATATAATATAATAATAATAATTATTATTATTATTGTTATTATTATATAACATAATTATGTATATATAAAAATATTATATATAATTATATAAAGTTTATAATTGATAAATTTAATATTTAATATTTATATACATTTATCTTAGATATATAATTTAATAATAATTAAGTTTTTTAAGCATTTAATTTTTTTATCATTTTAAACACGATATAATGCTTACAATCCGATCCAAAATCCAACATGATAATAGGATAAGGATGTGGATGTGTTGAGTTCAATCTGAATCTCATCTATTTACAACCCTGCTTGAGCTTGAATTGATCAATGACCCGTTGACCATTGTTGACCCATTTGACGCAGAAAACGGTTTTCATGCCAAATTTTACTTTAATTATTAGCGGGAACTCGTGTGATGCACGGGATTTGTTTAGTGAAAGATAAATAATAGAAATAGTCATTTACTTAAACATCCCCTATAGCTTCATGGATTTACTAAAATCTACCCTATAATTTGTATTTTACTAAAATATCACTTATAATTTGCAATGGATTTAATCAATCTTCCATTAGATGACAATGGTAAATGATAGTGTCGACCTTAATCTTCATTTAAATAAATTTAATCAAAAGAAAATAAAAGTAAAAATATATTGGTCAATTTTGTTTTCTGTACAAAAAAGTGTTAAGGGTATTTTTGGAATAAAAATCATGGACCTAATGGAAAAGCAAACACTCCTTAATGAAAGGTTGATTAAGTAAATGAGTTGCAAAATATATTGGATATTTTAGTAAAGTGAAAACTATAAGGTAGGTTTAAGTAAATATGTAAAACCATAAGGTGTGTTCTCGTAAATGACCCTAATAGAAACACATAAGATATACAATTGTTTTATATTTTCAACTTTTAAAATAATTAAAAATTATTTATATTTTATATACTACTTTTAATAATTTTTTTATAATACAAAAATAACAATAATTAATTTCATTATTTCAGTTAGGTTTATTCATCAAACTGATGAAACCGACCAACTTGATCAACTCGACTCGAGTTGGCCGATTTTCTAGTATTTTAGGTCGGGTTTGGTTCAAAAATTTCCCAACTTGACCAAGTTCGATCAGTTTTACTTTGGCCATTTGTAAATTGACCAAAATTGGATGATTTAACCATTGATATATATATATATTAATATTTTATATTTTAAATATAGTTTTTAATATGGAAAAGTGAAAATTTTCCCATATTTCTTAGTCTAAAATGTTTATATCATAAATTTATTTTTTAACAATTGCACTGTAATTTTTAAGATTTAAATTTAATTTTTTAAGTTTAAATCTTATGAACTGACTAACCAAACAAAAAATCGACCCAAACGGATACAACTTGAGTGGGTTGGTTTTCACAAATGGTCAGTCGATTTCAGCTAACCAACTCCCCATGGCCCAACCTAACTAGAGCAATTTGGTTCGCCAAACAACCTACAAGTAGACCGAACAAACTCATGAACACTCATAATTTCAGCTAAATTAATATTCTCATCTATGAGAAATAACAATAGTTTAATCTCCAATAATTATTGAAAATTTATAGTGAAAATACACAATTATTTAAAACATATTGATAATGAAAAAGATACAATAAGTACTAAAACTATATTAAATTAGTCAGTAAATAGTATAATATCAAATAATAGTTTAATCTCTAATAAATATTAATCAATAAGTTATAACAAAAAAAAACAATAAATACAATAAGTACAATAAACAAAATTTAAAATTTTCAATAATAGTAGTTTAATCTCCAATAATTATTGAAAATTTTCAATTAAGTAACAAAAAAATAAATTTATACCTAATTAATGAAAATGCATTTATCACAAAAAAAATTATTGAAATACAATAAATATTAATATTAGTATATATAATTATATAATAAATATATAATAAGATTTTAACATTATTATTAATAAGTATTAATTTTTATGAAAGTTAGTTTTCCAAATAATTAATTTATATAAGTGAAATTAGTTATTTACAATATTATGTAAAAATATTAAATTATTATTAACTTAAATATTATTTTATAATTATTTTATTAATTTTTAGATTTTTTAAATATATTATATAACTTCTTTATTTTAACTAATTTAAAATATAATTATGTTAAGTATTTTGGTACTTAAAATATTTAGTTAGTTAAATAATTAAATATTTATAATATTTTGTTATTTATAATATTTTAATTTATACTATTATTACATAATTGCATTATTAATTTTGTAAGATATTAAATTATAATTAATTTCAATATTATATTATAATTATTTTTCTACTTTTAATATATTTTTAAAGTTATTACATAATTTTGTTATTTTAACTATTTAAAATCTTGTTATGTTAAATATTTAAATAATATGTAAAATATTTTAATTTTTTGTTATTTGAATTTTATTTATTTAAATCTATTACATATTACTAAATATTTTTTTATATAATTAATTATATTTTTATAATATTTTTTATTTAGGATATTTATTTATTGAAATATTTAAAGAAGATTTTATTTTTTAATTTTAAATCTTTATTGTTTGAATAAAATTTAAATTAATAATCCGAAAAAACAAAATTTAAATTGTTAGTACATAATTTCGTGTTATATTTTGTAAAAACATAAAATTATTTTTTGTGTTTTTAATAAATATTTTAAGGTTATTATATAATTTTGTTAGAATATTTAAATAATTCTTAAATTTTTTAATCCAAACTTTTCTTAGGTAGATATATATAAAAAGTGGGGGAGAGGATAAATAGGAATTAGAGATAATTTAGAAGATAAATAGGAATTAGAGATAATTTAGGAAATAGTGGGGGATAGTGGTGGAGGTAGTTTAGGAGAAATTTTAGGAGAAGAGATTATTTAGGTTATTGGGAAAGTGTATATCATTAGTTGTTTCAAAAATGACATGAAATTAAAAAAATAAAAAATTAAATATATATATATTTTTTAATTTTTAAAAGTGTCACGGATAGACCTGTTCATGGGTCAGGCTGGGCTTTCACTCTGTATTAACAGATTTTTCTAAGGCCCGAGCCCGAGCCCGGCCGACCATCGGGCCTACAACTTCGGCCCGAGCCCGAAATTTAGCCCATACTGTTACTACTGCTAAAGCGGCTGAATAGAGAGAGAGAGAGAGAGAAATTATAAATAAAAGAATTATATATATATATTAAATTATAAATATATATTTTAATAAATGTTATATTTATTTATATATTTTATATAATATATAAAATACATATTATATATTTTATAAAATATATAATGCTGAGTCAGGCCGGGCTTTTTTGACAAATCCTGAGCCCGGCCTGAAACACAATCGGGCTTACTGTGTTAGGCCCGAGGTCAAGCCTGCGGGCCTAATTACATGACCAAGCCTGACTGGGGTGCAGGCCGGGCCATTGGGCTACCCGGCCCATAAACAAGTCTAGTCATGGACTGGTCTGTTCAGACCAAACAATATGCAAACTGGTGGGTAAAACGGATCTGGTTTCGGGTCAGTTTTTAGTTGTTAAAACATTGTTATTGATTACAGAGTCCTAATGCAACAAGGAAAGCTTCAACTATTGCCCTTATTTTAGGCCTTGTTTGGTGTGTTTTTTCCATGCCATCTTTTGGCTGCTTACAAGCTGGGCAGACCACACTCGGTCTTTTTTCATTTGGTTCATAGTAGATTTAGCTGTCAAAAGTCGGTCCTTAGAAAGATGTGAAAAACTCATATTGGGCTGATTTCGAGAAGCTCCATTTTCACATCTTTCTTTCTTTATTCTCATGCAAAAATTAACTCCGAACTACTCAGATCTTTATGTAAAAGCTTGCCAGAAGATCTTTTTGCCAAAACGGACCCTTACTTTCTTTTAGCAGCCGCAAGATTTCCAATCAGCTGCTTGTGTCAACAGTAGTCATGCATGAGTACTGACGTTTCTGATATTTGTTTAGGAGGCTACACTGGAAGGAGAAATTGAGAAAGAAGTCAGAGAGCAAAGAAGGAAAACGCAGAAATGGTGGTATTAGAAAGAATTAAATTTGAAAGAGGAGTCGAAAAGCAAAGCAGAGGAAGAGCTCCTTTATTTATTTATACGAACCCAAACCCCATGACTTGGAACCCCGCGATGGACAACAAAAAGAAGATAATAGCCCGGCGGTGCGACTGCACTCGTCGGCGGTGCCAGAGCTTTAATCCTGAATGTTTTTATCTCCGCCATGACCACCTCTCTTATAGCCAACACCAACAGCCGTTGATTCATCGAGTAACCATGCGTTGTAAATGGGGGTGCGTACATTGTCACCTTCAAGTCTGTCTTATCTAATTTAACTGCTAGCAGATTGATCATGGTCGTGAACTCTTCTCCATATTTGATCGCTTGAGGTGTACTCTCCTGAACGATGGTTGGCTTGTGGATCTTAAGCAAAGGGTCCAAGTATGGTGGCCAGAACTTCTCAACCCTCACCTCCGTCGGAAACTTCACGGTGAAGTTATACGCATTGTGGGTGTTGCTGCCTGCAACTAGAATTTTCCCGTCTGGCAATACAGCAGATGATGAATGATACATGCGTGGGATTGCTGTTGGTGCCAACTCCGTAAACCGGTCGCCTCTTTTATTTTTGGGTTTGTACAGCACTGGTGTGAAATTCGGTTCGTCGGCGAATTCCCACCCAGATGTTCCCCTCTTGGCACCGTTGATCATGAGAATGTCTCCCGTTGGCAGATTGAGCATGTCACCCATCACCCTCGGTGACGGCATGTGCTCCATTTTCCACACAGAATCGGGTTTCGTTATATGAATTCTACCGCAACTCTGCAACGCAGGCAAGAAGATAAATTTCTCGGCCATTTTATATGCCTCCGACCTTGCACCTCCGCACACTAGGACCTCGGCAGGGATCACAGCGGCGTTCTCGCCGTAGAGCTTTATGGGGAGAAGGGCGGACATTCCCGATGCAGGATAGTTTCGGGAACCGCCGGGCAGCACTGGAAACTCGCGAACCACCTTACCGGTAACAGGGTTCAAGAGAATGGAGCGATTGTTCGCAAGGATGAAGAGACTGCCGTCTGTGGAGAGGTGTACAAATGGGTAGAGATTGTTCTCCCCCTCGTCGGTCGTCTCACGGAGGAGGGGCAAATCGTAGTTGGTCGGATTGGATTTACCCTCCTCGGGCACAAATTCATAGTTGAACATGCGACGACCACCGACTACGATGAAGCTTCCATCGGGTAGGATCTGTTGGGTGGCATACCTGCGCGAGCAAATTAACACTCGAATATCTGAATGAATCATAGAACAGAAGATAAATACAGACGCATATGCTTCACGTAATGAAATAAAACAGGTACCATCTCTGGCCAGAAAGTGCAGTTGGGTACTCCTTCCAATCGCAGGTATCACATGCAGAGAGGTATCTCACTGCTCTTCCTCCGTCGAACCACCCACCCGTTTGCACCAGATTGCCATCAACCGAGAGTGAGCCCGATGAGCACCATGGATCAGTTAGAACCTGTGTTATATATAAAGCTTTGTGAGAGAGAATCGATTAAACTTGAAACAGAAGCTGTATGTACGTATTACAGTACGTCTGTGTGCAAGTTAAGCCAACCTTGAGAGTCCGAACATTTCCGGTGGCTATATTGTACTCTACAGAATGAGCCCAACAGTCCACTTCACCGTTCTTGCCGGGAACAGGACGGCAGTTTCCATGGGGCAGCTGGATCAGAGAAGGGCCGAGGTTGGTTGCGTCGAACATGATAGCCTTGTTGTTGGGAAGCAAGATCAAATGCATGGCCGACACACCAGAGTTTATGGAAGCTAGCTCCCATCCACCCTTGTACATTGTCACGAAGTCAGGATTCATTGCTTTCATAACATCATCATTGTTTTTTTCATCTCCTCCAAAATCGAAATTCGGTGGATCTCTCCCAAAACCTCCCCTTCCAAAATTAAAACCCGGTGGATCTCTGCGAAAACCTCGGCCATAGTTAAAATTTGGTGGGTTTCTCGGATAACCTCTGCCACCAAAGAAGAAAGGTTGCCCGAGGCCAAGGATGAAAAAGATGGGGAGAAGACAGAGGGCTTTGTGCAGGGCCGCCATGGAAGCGCGCATCCAACAGGGCAACCTCGAGAGGTTGCAGACGGGGCCCTGGACTTCTTCCTCCTCCTCCTCCTCCTCCTCCTCTATTATTTGTTTCAAAATTCTCCAGAGGAGAAATGAGAGTTAGGGTGATCATTGCTTCTTTATACTTGAAGCGGGGAGGTGAGGTTGATCTGTTTAAGGACCCTTCTTTCATGGATGCCAAAATTCGAGTCTGGTTTGTTGCTAATTTGCAGGAGACCTTGGTCAAACTTTACTATTAATCAAGGAGACAGAAGATCAAAAGTCTGGATCTCCCTAAGCTTGGCACTTATCAATCAAAATTTTTCAAAACTCAAGGGGGTGGTTTTGATTGGTCGATCTCTCAAATGTGAGATTTCTGGTTTCACAGCCACCCACTATCACTTATAAGAGGTTAACCATCAAAACCACCCATTGGTTTCGATGAATTTTCATTAGGCTCAGTTTGGAATGAGTACAAATGCAAATATGTACAGCGTAAATACATACAAAATATAAATTTTTGCACTCTAAATATTTGCATTTGTACTCCTTTCAAATTCACCCTTAGACCGTGTGTAATTGCAATATAAATAAATTTGTACTGATGCAGAACCATGATAGTATAAATGATTTGAGTGTAAATTCTGACCTATTTCTGCTTCAAATGTTAGCTTATTTTGTTTGATTGCAGTACAAATAAAGTAAATTAAAACATAAAACAGAATAAAGTAAAACCCAAAACAAAATTAAAGAAGAATTTGAGCTCTTATACATTCGTATTAATGCAAATAAAATTGTACTGCAACCAAACACAGCATTAGCCTTGGTACAAGGCATTAATTGTAGTAGATTGGGACTGTAGCAACTTAATTAGCTTGGTACAAGGTGCATGTATAACAGATTACCAGATTGGTTAGTACAGAAAAACTGTTGCAACTAAGCTTAATCATCAGCCACGTTCAAACCAGTGTTTAAAAATCAAACAGGAGGCTGAACCATTTTTCAGTACACCATCTGAAAAATGAGGGCAAATAGAGTAATCATTTGATATTAAATGAGTTGAAAAGAGGTAATTTTAAGATAACCAATGCATTGAATTCCCTCTCATTAAATCCAACCTTTAAGGTATTAATTTACATTGACCTTCATTGAATCATATTTTAAGGCACTTTTGTTTCTTTCTATCGTTAAATTCTATTAATTAAATCTATACAGAATAAATTAATAATTTCTATAATACAAAAATTTGTACTTTTAAAATCTACCTGGAAAAAATAGTGTTTTAATCTAGGTAGTGGTAAGAAATTGAACCATTTTGGGTTAAATGGGCCAATCCATATTGCTACATTTAAAAAATAAAATTCAAAAAATAGATAAGATGCAAAATATAGAAATTAAAAAAATTACATTTTTTTAACATCATATATTTGATATATTAAACAATAATAAGTGTGATGAAAAAAAAAATGTTTTCATTAATAATGGAAATGAAATGTAAAATTTAAAAAGATTTTTTACATAAAAAATAATGAAATTTGGTCATTTAACAATACTAGATACGTTTTCAAAAAAATAAACAAAATGTGAGTGGGAGAAGTTTTGCTTTTTTTCTGGAATAAAATACCCCAACTAAAAATCAAATACGTCTTCCTCCTCTCCCAAATCACCGACCATGAATATCAACACTGTTGTGCTTGGCATCGGCATTAGTCGTTGTATTTGTGATGGAGTAGACAGTCTGTGTTTCTCAACTCGTTCGCCAACTTTGCAGCGGGATGACAAACAGGGCACGTGGATTTCGAACCCAAACCCATCTAGAATCGAAACCTTTTCGACCTTGTGGCCCCACACCAGCATTGACGCTCGGTTGCACACCTAGAGTTCGATCACGTCCAGGACATAGCCTGGCTGGTCTATAGGTACACCCAAGAATCACTTTCTCCAACCTCTGTCTACTTCGACAAAGGCACTCTAACCGAACTCAAGAAGATTGCCTCGTCCACGAATGAACTTTCCTCCTCCCCTCACATGTTGTTTGAAGTACTCTCAGCTCACTGGAGGAGTTGGGATAGATCTCTGGAATTGCCGACGAACCAGACGCTAAGACTACTCTTCAACTTGATGAAAAGTAAGTTCTGCCTCCTTTCTCAACTTGATGCAAAGGGGCAATTTCGTCAAAAATCCCTCTTACCATTTTCGTAATATATTTCAAAATGTATTGAAATATATAAATTCATGAAACTTTATTAATATTTTTGTAAAAAGTCTAAACTAATTAGAAATAAAACTATTTTTCTATTCTCTCATTAAATCCTATACTTGAGATATATTTTTCTCATCATTAAATTCTATTAGTTAAATACATAACATTAATTTTCATAGTATAAAAATAAATAATTTGAAGAAAAACTACTTTTAATAGTATAAAAATAAATATTTTGAAAAGTAATTTAAAAATTAAAATATTTGGGTAAGCAATTCAACCATTTGGGTAAGCAATTCAACCATTTGGGGTCAAATGAGTTAATAAATAATGTCATAATTAAATAATAAAAAATTAAAAAATAAATATATAATCTAAAAAATAAAAAGAATTGGACATATCTCTAAAATTGTCTATTCATTATATAAACAAAAATAAGTATGACATGTAATAAGTATTTTTATTAAGAACAAAAATGGAATGCCCAATTTAAAATCAACCTAAAATTGAAATGGGGTCATAGTCAAATAATAACATTTTTAAAAATATAAAATACAAAGAATCACAAAAATAAAAAGTAGAGAAAAAATTGGCCACATATCTAATATTATATATTTATACAAATAAAATATTGGGTGCATCTCTAATATTATACATTCATTATATTAAACAAGAATAAGTATTATACATAAGAAATTATTTTGTCAAATGATGGAAATGCAATACAAAATTTTATGTCAACCTAGAAATCAAACTATTTTTCTTTTTGGGTGGTGAGTTAGTGGTTTGGGTCAAATGGATTAATTGATAATATGATAATTAAATAATAAATCTTTGAAAAATAAAAAGGTACACGTAATGAAAAGAATATATAAAAATTATATATTAGTTATATCAAACAAAAATTAAGTATGATAAGTAAAAATTATTTATATAATATAGATAAAACATATAATTTAAAACTAATTCTAAAACAAATCTATTGTCTTATCTAGATGGTGGGTCAATGATGCAACTTTTCAAAGAAACTCATGATGTCTTAATTGAATAATAAATTAAAAAAAAAAGATAGAACACAAAATGAAAAAGTATAGAATGTTGTTGAAAGCATTTGGAAACATTTCTAATGTTATATATTCATCATATTAAATAAAAATATTTGTTAAAATAAAAATTGTTTTTATTTATAACAGAAATGGAATAATAATAATAATAATAATAATAACAATAATAATAATAATAACAATTGTTATTGTAATTTAAAATTTTCACGTGCAATGCACATGCACATTTACTACAAGCATTTAAGTTTATTTTTAATCATATTGTTACTTTATTAATTTTCAATTTCTATTTTAACTATGATATATCTAAAGTTCAAGTAATTAATATGAAGAAAAATTTCATAGGTGCAACACATGTGCTTAATTACTAGTACATATAAAATAATACAAAATACAATATTTTGCACTCTACATATTTGCATTTATACTCCTTTCCAACTGAGCCTTAAGGTTGTGGGTCAGTTGTTGGTCTAGGAGCCTTCAGCTCTTTGCAACACAAATCACGAAAAAGTTGCTCAAAATAAAAAAAAAAGTCACCCCAATCTGATCACTAATTGCCAAGTTATGACCTCTAGAAGTTTTTATTAGGGTTATGGGTCAATTGTTGGTCAAGGAGCTGCTTTCAGCTCCTTGCAACACAAATCACAAAAAAGCTGCCCAAAATAAAAAGATCACCCCATTCTGACCACTAATTGCCAAGTTATGACCTCTAGAAGTTTTTATTAGGGTTATGGGTCAATTGTTGGTCAAGGAGCTTCTCCTTGCAACACAAATCACAAAAAAGCTGTCCAAAATAAAAAGATCACCCCAATCTGACCACTAATTGCCAAGTTATGACCTCTAGAAGTTTTTATTAGATTGTAGCTTTAATCCATGACCTAGTAATCGGGTCAACAATTCAATTGCCCAGATCAACTTTGATCAAGTTAACAGTTTCTAGCCAATTTTTAGGTTTGAAATTTAACCCAAACCAGAATTGATGCTAGGTGATGGTTATAATCAGAATCAACAGGAGTTTGAAAACACTAGTTGAAACCAAGGTTTAAAATATTGATACAATATACCCCATATTAAGCACACCATATTGTACCTTTATATCTCTAATATGTTTATTATAAGGTGTTTTAGGATTTGGGCTTTAAAACATTTTAATGCATGATGAGAAGATAATATAAAAAAGTCATAATTTTGTTCGGTTGAAATACACAGAATTTGTGTATTGAAAGTGTCGATACTTTTAACCTTGCTTGAAACCTCTTTATCTGGAGATGAGCTTTCCTGTACTTCCTAGACTAAGCTAACATGTGTAAATTTCAGTTAGTCTATGGTCTTTATTCACATATAATAGACTACCAGATTGATTAATTAGAGTAAAAAAATGTGGGAAATTTGGCATCATTTATCTGAGCAAAGAACGTAATGAATTTGTTGAAACCTGTCTTCAAATGCATTTAAATTGTTTTTTTCCTTTTGTTTTTTGATATTACATAACAAATTACATGGGGGCTCATGGGGCAAGGGCAGAGTAGGGTGAGAGCCCAGATTTCCTACTCACTTTTCCTACCCGCCGTGAATTGTTGCCACACATCTCTCAATTCATAATAGAGATGTGTGGCTCCAATTCACGACGGATAGAGAGTGGGTAGGAAAAGTGAGTAGAAAATCCCAATTGACATCTGACGACCACTGACCTCTGCAACTAATAAGGATGGTCTTCACTATTTTATTTG